CTGTTGCCCCACTATCACCTGAGGGCGACCATAGCGACGACCTTGATCTCTGCGAGACCGTCCACTATCACTTGGAGGACTCTACCCTCCCTGCAGTTGAGCGCCTTTATTTCGCGCTCTCCGCCCTCTCTCGGACACGCAGCCGCCCCGGTCACGCTGGCACGGCGCCCCCCGAGGTCCCTCAGGAGGACCTCCCTCAGGGCTTCGTCCCTCCTCGTGGTGTCGTTTCCGCTGAGGAGCGCGCGACTATTCTAGGCGGCGTGGGTGTTTGCACTGCCGCTTGGACGGTCATACCTCCTCGCGGTGCCCTTACACTACCGCCCTCGACCACCATTACGCTGACCTTTCTCGTCAGCGTCGTGCTCAGTCCCCCCCCGGTGCCTCACGTCCCCGCGGTGCCTCCTAGACGGTGCAGTGCACACCTGCGCCCTCCTCAGTAGTGGGCTTCCCGACATCTCCGTCGCGGTTCGCCCTTCTCGCTACTGGAGTTGAGGTATCGCAGGACTCGACAGAGTGTACTCAGCCCTCTGTTGCAGTATCGTCTGCGCCTCCGCAGACCACCGTCTCCCCTCCTCCCCCGCCGCGACTACCGACGTGTCGAGCCATTCGCTCAGCCCGTTGCAGCGAGCAGCTTGCTACTCGCGAGGACGTTGTGTCCTCTCTTCTGGACTTGAGCATGCTCCAGGCTCATCAAGAGCGACTCACCCTCCATATCGCTGCACTGCTTCGCCTTCTCGCCATCCTCTCTGACCCTGATCGCACCCTCCCGATCATCCCCGTACGACTCGGGACCTCCACGAGCTCAGCGCTGTGGGATTGGTTCTCAGGGCGACTTCATTCACCCACGCGTGGTGAAGGAAGCCCGCTTACCCACGACAGGGTCTTTGACTCCCATCTCCGTTACCCTAGGGGATGACAAGACCCAACGCTTTTTCGATCAGACGGTCACCGACCTCCCCTTCTTCCTCACCTTTGAGCCGACTGATCGTTCCCCGGCGTCTCGTCGCCACCGCTCCTCTGCACATTTCGATGTGATGGAGACGGGGTACGACTTCATTCTCGGCACTCCGTGGTCTCGTCGGTTCCGCAGCCCCGAGGCCGATTGGGCGACMAACACTYTCGTTCTCAAAACGAAGTGTGGACAGACGTATCGCKTACCTTTCATAGGTACCACGRCGAYACCACGCCCCGATCCKCCTCCCCCGGAGCCTTCAGTGCCCACACCATCTCCCTCTATCACTGTMACCTCGCCTCGGCAGTTCRCTCACTTCATTCGACAGGACGACGTCACSTTCTTTATGGTGGACGTGACGGATCTCTTACACTATGATCCACCCTGTCCCGACGCCGAGCTCATCTCTCTGGAGCCAGATCCTCCCTCTATCTCCATGGCTCCCATCTCTACTTCCGTCCCTCCGCCGTCCGTCGAGTCCACCCCGTCTTCGGGCGGTGACGCTGACGCTGAGGAACTCGCACGATATACGGCTGACCTGGAGCCCGCAGTTCGTGACCTCATCCGAGAGTACCACGATGTTTTCCCATCGACGTTCTCGTACGTCGGCATCCCACCGATGCGTGACGTCGACCACTCCATTCAGCTTGTGCCTGACTATCGTGTTCACCACCAGRCACCCTACAGACTCTCGATYCCCGAGGCCACCGAACTCRAGCGTCAGCTTGAGGAGCTCCTGARACTGGGTTTCATTAAACCCAGCAACTCCCMGTGGGGTGCACCCGTCCTCTTTGCTCGCAAAGYGGATGGAACTCTTCGTCTCTGCATCGACTATCGCRGTCTCAACCGCTATACGGTTAAGAACAGCTACCCCATGCCTCGTTCCGATGAGCTGTTCGACCGCCTAGCAGGCAACCGCTTCTTTACGAAGATTGATCTTCGTAGCGGTTACCATCAGATCCGCGTCGCTGAGCTGTTCGACCGCCTAGCAGGCAACCGCTTCTTTACGAAGATTGATCTTCGTAGCGGTTACCATCAGATCCGCGTCGCTGCAGCCGACCAGCCGAAGACAGCGTTCCGATCGCGCTTCAGCCACTACGAGTTTACGGTGATGCCATTTGGCCTCACCAATGCACCCACCACCTTCCAGAGGGCGATGAACGACATCTTCAGGGACATCCTGAAGCAGTACGTCTCGTCTACTTCGACGATATCTTGGTCTACATTCGTACCCTTGAGGAGCACCTCAGACACCTCCGCGACGTCCTTGACCGTTTGCGCAGACATGGCTTCTACGCCAAGTTGAGCAAGTGCCGCTTTGCCCAGCACAAAGTGGATTTCTTAGGACACTACGTGTCTGACCAGGGTCTCCACATGGACGACGCGA